TGAATAAAAGTAAATGTTAGATTCAGCTTGCAGGAGGTGAGTCAGCAGCCTTCTGCACATGTTCAGTTAGTTTGGTCTAACAAACTTTATTCACCAGTTCTTTAGTCTAACAGCGACAAAATCAAATTATCAACAAGCAAAAAGACAAATATATTGAACACTGGAAATTAAATTCCAATGTTAACTGACCCTAAAAAGAGAATTCACACGGACAGATTAACTGAGCACAATAAAATGTCCTAAACTAAGAAAACTGTTGACAACATACAGACTGAGTGAGCAGCCTGGCCATAGAAAAGGGTCGACACAGACAGAGCTGGCTACCACAAGAGGAGAGACTCAGAGGACAGGTAGAGACACAGAGGACAGGTAGAGACACAGGAGAGGTAGAGACAAGTAGAGACAGAGCTGCACTTTCTAACCTCATGCCCCAAATATAAAACACTAAGACAAAAACACTTTGCAAACATTTCCCAAATATACCCCGAATCAAATTCATATCAGACACACAGAAACTCCCCTATTTGCTGGAAGAAATGCCTGAATGTCAAATAATTGCTGCAAAATATACAACCAGTGGAAAGTGTACTAATGTTCAAATTATTATTTTGATATTTTAGTAATTGTTTTGTTTTTAAATCTCACATCTGGTACAGATAATGTTTTTAAATTAATTAATAATAATTATTATTTGTCTATTAATACACACACACTCATTTACGGTTTTATGTATTTTATTTAAATTTTTAATATATATATATCTTTTTAAATACAGTTTTATTTATTTTTAATATTTATTTTTATGGAATTTATATATATTTTTTATTAACACCTACAAACAACTTTTACTGTTTTATTTACTTATTTAATGAAATGAATTGTTCTTATGTTATTTACATGCAGCTTTGGGAATGAAGCTGATTTGAATTGAACTGATTTGATTGTGTTTTTCAGTTTCAGGCTGAGAGAAGGAAACCAGCAGATACATGAAAAAGTAAAAACTGACTGAATAAAACATTGTGTTTATATGTTTAGCTGCTTTCTGTTTAGTTCAAAGGTCAGCTTATTATGAATATATAATAGTGAAACACTGACAGGAAACATGTACTGCACGACGAGTACTTTTTACGTACATTTAGCTGATAATACATACTTTTACTTAATTCATGTGTTCAATGCAGAACTTAACTTGTAGTGGAGTATTTTCTTTTAAAAGTAGTAATACTTCTTCCACCACCGGGCACAACGACCGGCCCTGGCAGTGAAAGACACCGTCTGCAAACTGGAAACTCTCCAGAAACACAACCTCTGAACTGCGCGTGTGCAGCAGATGGCCTGTAACACACAGAGCTGCTTTGTGTTCAGGAACAGCTCAGGTTTCCAGCAGATGTTCTCAGAGGTCAAAGGTCAAAGAGCAGCTTTCACCCACTGATGTGCAGAGCACACACAGTTTCTGTTGTCTCAGATCAGAGGTGAAACTCTGAAAGCTTCGTGTTCAGCCTCTCGTGCTTCTTTTGAACAAAAGTTGATTATGTTTCTTCTATATTTTAATTGCACTGCATGTTTTCATAATGTGCAAATAAACCTGTCTAAAGGCATTTTCATTTGTTATCTAACTGCAAGCTGTATATTCAGAACAGTTTTTAACAAATTATGTTTTTAAAAAGTAGTGGGGACATGTCCCCGCCGTCCCCAGTGTAAATGGCACCAATGAGAATCAGGTACATTCTGTCACACGAGGACTTTGCCTCGGCACATCGGTGCTCAACAGGACACATGAAGTATCCAAAATGAACAGTAAAATATACAGGATAAAAATAAGCGACTACACGTTGTCAGAATCTGTCACGTAGATTTTCTCTACGTGTCTGTCAGACTGATGAAGTTGACCAGAGCCTGAAACCGGAGACATGGAAAGTCCTGTGAGTGCTGCCTGCACGACCGGTGAGATGGGAGGAGTATAGAAGCATAAGGGAGCATAATTTAGACAAATCCCATCTACTAATACCGGATTTCAAAGAACTTCAAGATACCAATCAACTGAGAATGATCCCTGGAGGACGGACGGACGTATGTGTCCCTGCGGCCAACCTGAGGGACGGCGAGGGACGGCCATGGACTCGGCCAACTTAACGTTGGCTGCATGGCAGGTTACATCTGGTTACTTCCTGTTTGTAGTTTACATTCTACCTGTATTTAGTATTTTTGTTCATCACTGCTAAACCAAACAGTTATGACTGAATTAATTCTTATTCACATCTAAACTTTTGCTGCAAACTGCTTTGGTTGAACTTGAACCTTCATGTCAATAAAGCACACTGATCACGAACTGAACGGATTTCTGTTGTGATGTGGGTGAGAATCTGTGGCCTGAGTCATGGGAACATCAACGTTTACACCTCTAATGTTTTTTATTATGCCGTCTTTTTCTTTTCTGCATCACGGCTCTGTTTACACCTGTTTACACAGTAAAAGCTGTAAATTCTGTGTGACTCTTGTGTGCTGCTGGAGCCGACGTGTTCTGTACAGAGACGGTGCGTCACTTTACTTCAAACCCGAGCCGACACTGAAAGTGCTTCCAGAGTCTGCTGTTATGCTGACTGCATGCTGAACATGTTGACTCTCTGGTTTGGACAGACTCAGGTTACCTCTGCAGGTGTGTGCTACTGTTTGTACGACGTTTTACAAATCATAGTGAGGACTCAAGAAATGTTCCACAGCGACTGAGAAAAACTGCAAACTGGGTTTCCTGGCCTGAGCATCCATCAGCACAACTGTAATAATAATACTACCTCGTGCTTGGAAACATAATAAAAGAAGTCAAATGTTTTGCTGTTGTTGAAGTCAGAGCGCCACCTGCTGCTCAGAGGAACACATCACATGAAACACTGGAGTCAAAACCAGAAACCAAATAAACTGACTGAATATATCATAAATATATATTTATACACTGCTGTTTTCTGTAACATTACAGAGACTTTGACCTCCTGCAGGACCTTTTACAAACTTAACAGTTTATATATTTCTACCGAACTTAAAGAATTCAGGACTTCATCACCTGAAAGAAATAAAGTACAACAAAGAAAATAAACTGACCTGAGGAGCAGAAGATCAGCTGGTGAACTCCTGATGGATTCAACAGCTTCATCTATCTCGATCTTTACAGTGGTGTGAAAAAGTGATTCCCCCCTAAACCTAATAACTGGTTGGGGCCCGCTAAGGAACTTTAGCCCACTCATCTTTGCAGAATTGTTGTATTTCAGCCGCATTGGAGGATTTTCGAGCCTTAACTGCTTTTTTAAGGTCATGCCACAACATCTCGATCTGATTCAGGTCAGGACTTTGACTACGGCACTCCCAAGTCTTCATTTTGTTTTTCTTAAGCCATTCAGTGGTGTGTTTTGGATCATTGTCCTGCTGCAGAACCCAAGTGCACGTCAGCTTGAGGTCACGAACAGATGGCTGGACGTTCTCCTTCAGGATTTTTTGGTAGACAGCAGAATTCATGCTTCCATTTACCACAGCAAGTCTTCCAGGTCCTGAAGCAGCAAAACAGCCCCACACCATCACAACCACCATATTGTACTGCTGGTATGATTTTCCTTTTCTGAAACGCCAGATGTAACGGGACACACACCTTCCAAAAAGTTCAACTTTTGTCTCTTCAGTCCACAGAGTGTTTTCCCAAAGGTCTTCATCAAGATGTCTTCTGGCAAAACTGAGACGAGCCTTTATGTTCTTTTTGCTCGGCAGTGGTTTTCGTCTTGGAACTCTGCTCGGCCGTTTCTGCCTGGTCTCTTTCTTGTGGTGGAGTCATGAACACTGACCTTAACTGAGGCCAGTGAAGCCTGTAGCTCTTTGGATGTTGTTGTGGGGATTTTGTGACCTCTTGGATGAATCGTCGTTGCGCTCTTGGGCAAATTTTGGTTGGCCGGCCACTCCTGGGAAGGTTCACCACTGTTTTCACCCTTTGTGGATCACAGCTCTCACTGTGGTTTACTGGAATCCCAAAGCTTTAGAAATGGCTTTATAACCTTTTCCAGACTGATAAAACTCAATTACTCTTTTTCTCATTTGTTCCTGAATTTCTTTGGATCGCAGCATGATGTCCACCTTTTGAGGATCTTTTGGTCTACTTCACTTTGTCAGGCAGGTCCTATTTAAGAGATTTCTTGATTGAGAACAGGTGTGGCAGTAATCGGGACTGGGTGTGGCTAGAGGAGTTGAACTCAGTTTTCCAAACATGTGATAAACCACAGTTGATTTATGTTTTAAAAGGGGGGCCATCACTTTTTCACACAGGGCTATGTAGGTTAGGATTTTTTTCCCCCTTAATAATATAAACCTTCATTTAAAAACTCAATTTGTTTGATCTGAAACATTTCAGTGTGACCAACATGCAAAAAAAAAAAAAAAGAAGCCAGGAGGGGGCATTTTTCCACATTATATATATATATATATATATTCAATTCCCCATTGTGACCCATCTACAAATGTGTCCCTGAGGAAGACACTTACAACCCCTAGTTGTTCTAGAGGCGTGTGACCTCAATTGTAAGTCGCTTTGGATAAAAGCCTCAGCTAAATGAATAAAAATGTAAAAATATATATTAATGAAGGAATACAGGGCAGCTGGTCATCAGTTGATCCTACAATGAAATAATCATATGGAAATAATGAACAATGAATATATATAGTCAACAACAATGACAACTCCTTCATTTAATTGTTAATTTTACATCTGAAAATGTCTGTTTGGGTGACTTTCAGAGTTCATCAGCTGATTTTCTGCTCCTCAGATCATAAATGTCTCTGAAGTGTTTTAAGATTTATATCCTTTCACACAAGAAAGAAAGAAAGAAAGAAAGAAAGAAAGAAAGAAAGAAAGAAAGAAAGAGGAAGTCTGGCCTGAATCATCTGAACTATAAACAGAAAGCCAACAGCGCCACCCAGCGACGACATAAGCATGCGCAGCTTCCTGTTTCCCGTGTGTCACCTTCATTCCTGTCCGGACAACAACAACAACAACGTGTGTGAGCAGCAGAGCGGTCGACATGTTCTCCTGTCTGAAAGGTAAAGTCGGGGAGGTTTTGTTACCTGGAGATGAATTCTCCTTTGAGGCCGACGACACCATCTCTCTGACGGAGCACGTGAAGCGGGAGAAGGTGGTGTGTGGTCCGGGTCTGCGGCGGAGCGGAGACCGGCTGGTGGTGTGTAAAAGCGGGGTCCTCCGACACAAACAGCCCAACATGTTCTGGATGGACTCTCAGCAGAGGAGGGTGAGACTTCAGAGACGGGGGGCTCCCTGGGACCACTTTAGAAACGTTTTACTGTCACTATTTACAGTAGCTTCTTCTTCACGCAGGACTCCATTTAGAAAACAAGCAATTTAAGCTTTTCTCTCTTGTCAGCACACCTACACGCCTCCTGTGGCAGAACTTTAGACTGAATTAAAGTCCTTGTGGATCGGTCGGGATTACGGCTCAAAGATATTGTTAGCAAGTCTCGCACTGAGCTCTTAAAGTTGAACTTCTTTGATCAAGTCCGCTGTTTAAATCCGTCTCCGAGCTCGCTGAAGCGCGCTGCGCTTTACGGCAGCGAGCAGCGGGAACCAGTCTGAACACTTTAGATTGATCAGTAATAACGTGCCGCTCGGTGAATAAAGTGTACGCCGAATTACTCACAACACCCAGCCCCATGACGAGGGGTATTCTTTTTTTTTTCTGACAATAAAACACATCGAGCCAAATTAGTTTGAATTCTAAATTGCCTTCTGTTTAATGGAGTTCAGCAGATTTCCCAGTAAAAGGCTGTGACTTTAGTGCTAAATGTAAAACACAGCAGATGCAAAGTTTGGTCCGGAGCAGTGCATGCTGGGAGTTGAGTCTGTGCCTCTCTGTCCTCAGTATGTCCCCGCTAAAGGAGAGACCGTCATCGGCATCGTGACGGTCAAATCAGGAGACGTCTTCAAGGTGGACTTTGGAGGAAGTGAGCAGGCGTCTCTGTCCTACCTGGCGTTTGAGGGGGCCACCAAGAGGAACCGGCCCAACGTCCAGGTGAGACCCTGAGGACCGACTGTGTTACCTGTGCAGGTGTTTAACCCCTCCCCCTTCTCTCTATGTTACCTGTGCAGGTGTTTAACCCCTCCCCCTTCTTTTGTGTGACCTGTGCAGGTGTTTAAAACCCTCCCCCTTCTCTCTGTGTTACCTGTGCAGGTGTTTAACCCCTCCCCCTCTCTCTGTGTTACCTGTGCAGGTGTTTAACCCCTCCCCCTCTCTCTGTGTTACCTGTGCAGGTGGGGGACCTGGTGTTCGCTCAGTTCATCATAGCCAATAAGGACATGGAGCCGGAGCTGGTGTGTATGGACAGTTCAGGACGAGCCAATGGGATGGGAGTGTTTGGCGGCGGCGGTCTGCTCTTCACGGTCTCTCTGGGACTGGTCAGAAGGTAGGAACAGCGTGCCGGTGTCGCGGTCCTCGGACTGGATGGCCCGTACTGACCCCTCTGCCCCCCCTCAGGCTGCTGGCCCCCCGCAGCGAGGTCCGGTCCGACCTGCAGCAGCTGTTCCCCTGCGAGCTGGTGGTCGGGATGAACGGGCGCCTGTGGGTCAAGTCCTCCAGCGTCCAGCAGACGCTCGTCATCGCGAACCTGCTGCAGAGCTGCGACACCATGACGGACCAGCAGAGGCGGCAGCTGTTCAAGAGGGTGGCACAGGGGGCGCTGTAGACCACAGCCGGCGCCAGAGGCCCACTTCCTGTCTGTGCTCAGGGCGCAGCTACAAACATTAAAAGCAGGTGGTTGTGTTTGACGTCAGTGACGTCGGCAGGTGAGACACCTGTAGCGGTCCTGTAGCAGGATGTTTGTAAACAGGTTTTATATTTGTAAAAATGATAAATGTATTTTTGTGAAAATAAACAAACTACAGTTCGAAGGTTTGAGGTCACTCAGAAATGTCTCGTTCATGTTGCTGCTGGTTTGTAACGGATCGTCTACAGAGGCTAGGGTTTACAGAGGTAGAACTTTCTTCCCGTCAGTTCTTGAAGCTGTTCCAGGAGAGAAACTGAAGATCATCTCGAGGGGAGACATGACAACAGGTTTCTCCTGAAGTTCGCGGACGACACGGTTTGAGTCCGTCTGCTCCAGGACGGAGAGCTCGACCTCGGGCCAGGTTTGAACGACTATGCTGATTGGTTGTGACCTTAAAACTAAAAACTTGAGGAAATCTCGCCACTCAACTTCTCCAACAACAATCGAGAGCTCACCTATACAGACAGGGGCGAGTTCCCTGGGAACAGTGACCTGCTGTCTTCAGAGGCTTCATTTTCTTTAAAATCTTTTATTGATTCAACCTTAACTTTTTGTTGCACAGCCCGGTGCGGGAATCTCACAGTGCAAAGCAAAAGTAAACTGTCTAACATTGTGAAGGCAGCCAGTAAAATAAGGCTCGGCCTATCGCAGCCAGCCTCTCTTGGAGGAAGAGATTCTCCAGGATAAAAACTAACAGATGTTTTTATCCTTTCCTTCCTTTGCTCCCACAGTAATTAATGCCCTGAACGGGAAGTGAGCTGGAGCTGCAGCTCAGAAGCGTCCGACAGTTTTGAGGCTCCCGTTTCAGCTTTCTGAGGACTTTTAGACGAACAAATAGATGTTGTACTGTTGGCCCTGAAGGCCAGCAGCGTCCCGGATGTTTTTCTAACCATCAGCCTTTTAAAATGATCGTCTCTTATTGGCTGGAACAGCGTGACGCCACAGGGCCGCTGTAGATCATCCATTACAAACCAGCAACATTTACATCATGAACACTGTCTTATGTTCTTTTAATGGACAAAGACGGTGCTTTTAATTTGAAAAAACATGTCTGACCCCGGACTCACGGCTGCGCCGCGGTTGTGACGCGTCCTCCGCCCGGCGTCAAGTCATACTCGAAGCGTTTGGCCTGCCCCACGTTGTTGACTTGTTGTTTTTGTCATTTTGTGTGCTTCTGCTACCGATCACGGCGCTCTGTGAACCGCTTTCCCCCAGTTCACTGCAGGGCTGAATTTCCCACATGCAGCATTTCAGAATAAGAGCGTTTTGCCTGACTTAATTGTTTAGATTTAGTTGATTTAGTATGTTGTCCTCAATTTTTGTGCTTGTACCGTGGTTAAGAAGTCTACATAGTGAAAGTGTTTCTTTTTTGGTCTGTTTTAATTGTGTTTATTGTTGATATATACGATCAGGAGTAGCACAAGGTATTTTATTTTGAAAATTAACAGGATTCTATTTGCCGTTTCTGTGTCTGACTTCCTGCCCGGCTCATCTGCTCGGTGCAGCTTGATGCGTCTTCTGTCAAATAGACCGGCTGCCTGTTCTCCGCACAAACAGTGACTACAATGGCAGCGATTAGGTACGGCAGCCGTAACGCGGCGCACACGCCGCCTGTGTGAGTCCGGGGTAAGTGTGTCCTGTGCTTTTAATTTGAAAACATGTCTGAGTGTGTCCAAACCTCTGACTGTGAATAAACAACAACCGTTTGTTTCAGTCGTGTTTTTGAATTCTGTCCTTTTGTGGTGCCGATCAGCTGAACAGGAAACGGGTTTGAGGGAATGTTCTGGACCTCAGGGAGCAGAACCGGGTTCAGATCTCGCCGCGGACCTTTTCACTGGTTACGGATGTCGGCTGCAGTCTGCGCTGATCAGAGCTCCTCAGCTTGAGAAGACACGAGCTGATCAGGAGCTCCAGAGTTTAAAGTAACTTTAATGGTCACATGCAGCAGGTCACATGATCCGGCTCCTGAATCTGTGTTCGTCTGCAGATAATAAAGTTACTGATGATGCAACAAAATGAGACTTTTTCTCCATAAACATTTATTTTCAAATAGATTCAGAAAAAATAGATCTTTTTTTTTTACAACGTTTTGCTTTATATGACTTTTTATACAGTACTTTATGTGCCTTTAGAAAAAAACAAAACGCTTAATGAGGCGGCTCGGAGGGTCAGCAGGGACCCAAACACACAAAGGATGCTGGGAAAAGCACAGACAACAAATGCAAAGACCAAAACAGCCGGCTCTGAACTCTACAGAACGTCCGAACACAACGCTTGTTTTTAGGTTTTTATAAAAGTGCAAATAAACACTCAGAATGTGGATCAGAGGGTCGAAACACAAACGGGTTCCTTAAAGTGAAGGTGATCAGTCGGGGGGGGGGGGCTGCAGTAACAGGACTCTGAACACATGCGAGGCGACGCAGAACTTTGGCAACACGTCAGTCTGAAGGTCGAGTGGCAACTGGAAAATACGGCAGACATCTTGATGACGTCACAGTGCGGACTGGGGGGAGGGGGCGGGGCCGGGGCGGGGTCACATGGCGTGTTTCTGGATCCCCGGGATGAACTCCTTGGCGTTGGGGTTCAGACTGCTGTTCACCTGGAGGACAGAAGAAGAGATGACGACATCAGCGGGCGTGTGATCGTCTTTCAGCTGAAAGCCGTCAGAACACCTGCTGTTTTACCAAAGGTCAGAATCACGTCTCCGCTCTGCGTCCTTACAGGGTAGTTTCAGCATTTTTAAACCTGGGCCCTGAGTTCACGCTGCAGCGTATTCCTTGGGCAAAATGGCGTCCACAAAAAGAGCAGTTCTCGCTCTGAAATCTGGCGAGGGGGGTGACGCCAACCATCTAATCCTGAATGTCAACAGAACAAAAGAGATTGTCGCTGACTTCAGGAAAAATCAGCCTTGCAACGAAATCTCCCTCAGATGTCCAGGTGATCACGGTGAATGTGACAGTCTGAGCCTGTCGGGGGCAACGAGAAGCTCTTTCTGTGGACGCCATTTTGACAGGAAGGAAAACGCTGCAGCCGGTTCAGCTGAAGCTTCTGCTGCAGAGTCAAACCTTTCTGAACCTACGACCGACACGTGGAAACAGGGAGCAGGTTTAAAAACGCTGTGGTTCCCCTTGACGTCAGAAGACGCCTTTCCCATGAGCCAGTTGTTTCTCCTTCCCAGAAGAGCAAACAGCCGTCGTCTCAAGTCTGATTTATACTTCTACGTCGAGTCTACGCCGTGAGCTGCGCACGAACCCTCGCACCGACACGTCTGTGTTGGTGTCTGCAGTTACACGCCGCGCCCGGCTGCGGCGTGCTTGCAGCACACAAGTATAAATCGGGAACTCTGTCTGACTCCAGTGTTTTTTAATGAAGAGGCGTGAAAGAGGACCTTAACACACATGGGGCCCCCCAACACACACGGGGCCCCCAGCTCCATTAGTTTCCAAAATAAAGACATAAATGATTCATGCAACATTAAAACAGTTTCAGATGATTTGCGGTCGGCTGTCTGAGGTGGCGCCTGATTGGCTGAAGCAGAAGGTGAACTCACCACGACGTCGGCGTCCAGAACCAGCAGGCTGATCTGATCCTGCAGCTGAGCCACCGTCTGAGGGGGGAGGTCTCTGGACGGGATGAACCACTCCCACTGCTCCTCCTCCTCCAGCAGCTCCTGGATACAGCGCTCGATAAACTCCTCCTCCCACAGCTCCTCCTCCACCTGCACACACGGGAAACACACGGTTCACGACGGACGGCGTGCACCTGGGTCACAGGAAATTGCGACCGCAGCGTGGTGACCTATTAGCGATTCCTTGACTGATTGACGGAGAAAAACCTAAAAATGCAGCCTCCCAGAGTCCAAAGTGACGTCATCACTGTGCGACCAACAGTAGAGAGGAAAGGCGTGAAAACTGACGATCGATTAATAGAACAAGGTGAAAAAACACGAGCTCGTCCTTTTTTTCATTTTCAAAAAAACAACAAATCTAAAACTGCGTTTTAAAGAAACTTTAGTCTGTTGGAATAATCTAGTCCAGATCAGACAGGTCTAGGTACAGGGGTTTTGAACTGGACCTGGTCTAATGTGGGAAAAAAACGATAAAATGCCCTTTATAGAACTTTCACAACAGAATAAATGTTTTACAAATCTGAAACTGTGTTTTAAAAACACTTTAGTCTCCTGGAATAATCTAGTCCAGATCAGACAGGTTTAGGCATTGTGGGTTTTGATCTGGTTTTCCCCTCAACTACTAACATCAGCATCTGTGGGCTCCAGTTTTCTCTCCGATGTGCTGTGGGTTCTGGTTCTCCCCCTGACCTGAGCCCCGGGTGTGAGGCGGGTTCAGCGGGTTCTGGTTCTCCCCCTGACCTGAGCCCCGGGTGTGAGGCGGGTTCAGCGGGTTCTGGTTCTCCCCCTGACCGGAGCCCCAGCTGTGCTGCGGGTTCAGCGGGTTCTGGTTCTCCCCCTGACCTGAGCCCCAGCTGTGAGGCGGGTTCAGCGGGTTCTGGTTCTCCCCCTGACCTGATCCCCAGCTGTGAGGCGGGTTCAGCGGGTTCTGGTTCTCCCCCTGACCTGATCCCCAGCTGTGAGGCGGGTTCAGCGGGTTCTGGTTCTCCCCCTGACCTGAGCCCCAGCTGTGAGGCGGGTTCAGCGGGTTCTGGTTCTCCCCCTGACCTGATCCCCAGCTGTGCTGTGGGTTCTGGTTCTCCCCCTGACCGGAGCCCCAGCTGTGAGGCGGGTTCAGCGGGTTCTGGTTCTCCCCCTGACCTGATCCCCAGCTGTGAGGCGGGTTCAGCGGGTTCTGGTTCTCCCCCTGACCTGATCCCCAGCTGTGAGGCGGGTTCAGCGGGTTCTGGTTCTCCCCCTGACCTGATCCCCAGCTGTGCTGTGGGTTCTGGTTCTCCCCCTGACCGGAGCCCCAGCTGTGAGGCGGGTTCAGCGGGTTCTGGTTCTCCCCCTGACCGGAGCCCCGGGTGTGAGGCGGGTTCAGTGGGTTCTGGTTCTCCCCCTGACCGGAGCCCCAGCTGTGCTGTGGGTTCTGGTTCTCCCCCTGACCGGAGCCCCAGCTGTGAGGCGGGTTCAGCGGGTTCTGGTTCTCCCCCTGACCTGATCCCCAGCTGTGCTGCGGGTTCAGCGGGTTCTGGTTCTCCCCCTGACCTGATCCCCAGCTGTGAGGCGGGTTCAGCGGGTTCTGGTTCTCCCCCTGACCTGATTCCCAGCTGTGAGGCGGGTTCAGCGGGTTCTGGTTCTCCCCCTGACCTGATCCCCAGCTGTGAGGCGGGTTCAGCGGGTTCTGGTTCTCCCCCTGACCTGATTCCCAGCTGTGAGGCGGGTTCAGCGGGTTCTGGTTCTCCCCCTGACCTGATCCCCAGCTGTGCTGCGGGTTCAGCGGGTTCTGGTTCTCCCCCTGACCTGATCCCCAGCTGTGAGGCGGGTTCAGCGGGTTCTGGTTCTCCCCCTGACCTGATTCCCAGCTGTGAGGCGGGTTCAGCGGGTTCTGGTTCTCCCCCTGACCTGATCCCCAGCTGTGCTGTGGGTTCAGCGGGTTCTGGTTCTCCCCCTGACCTGATTCCCAGCTGTGAGGCGGGTTCAGCGGGTTCTGGTTCTCCCCCTGACCTGATCCCCGGGTGTGAGGCGGGTTCAGCGGGTTCTGGTTCTGGAGCCCCGGGTTTGCTCTCACCTGCCGGTTGAACTCCTCCTCGTTCTCCATCCACAGGTACTCAGCGAACGGGTCGTCCTCGGACGGGAACTGGCTGCTCAGGATCACCTCGTTGCTGATCGTCATTTTCGGGGCGATGCTGCTGTAGCTCGGGTCTTTCATGTCCCTCCTCTCACAGACCTGCGACACCGGGAGAGACACACAGACACGGTTCCCCCGTTAAACCGCGGCCCGTTACCGTCCCGGGTCGCTGTGATGGCGGCTGGCTGACAGACAGCAGCGGGCAGCTAACGGCCGTCGCTGCCATCTTTACGGTCAAAGTGACCCGAAACAAATGCAGAAACATGGACAGGAACACGTGAACACGATCACTGAGAGTCAGTTCAGTCATGTGAGGACATAAAACGTTTTGATTTAACGGATTAAATACCTGACAGCCCGGTTTGTTCGACGGCAGCGGCTCAAACGTTGAACTCTGGCGGACTCTGACTGTAATGGCCGCGCTGCCTCTGTTTGTTTACATCTCCGACGTCACTCCGAGCGCGCTTGTGATTGGATACACCGCTCTGCTGCCTTCACGTGACACATTGCCTGTTAAAAACAAAAGGACAAGAGAATCGGAAAGTAGCAAACTTCTGCTTGACTTTGCGCCATTTGTGACTGTTATGGCCATGATTTCGTTCCCATTGATGATTAATTAGGTTAAAGCGGTGATATTAGACGGTAGACACTAAGAGCAACCCGTGTTACTGATAACAAAAACAACAGTGTGTAGTGTATGGAAGCCCATTTCTGCCAAAAATAAAAAAAAACATGAAAATCGCAAAATACAAATATTCCTTCAAATCATGACATTATTAAGATAAAATTTGCAAAATAAAGTGAGAATTATGACATGAAAAGCCAAAACCTTTACTTACTGGGTCAAAGTCAGAAATCAGAAAAACTTTATTGATCACTGAGGACAAATTGTTGTGTTACAGTTGTTCACGTTGCTAATCAAGGTATCCAAGAAATAGAAATAATAAAAATAAAAAGTTGGAAAGTAGATGCTTTTAAAAAATACAAACCTAAAAATATAAATAGGAGTGCTACAAAATGTAAAGTATGTAACAGAAGTGTAATGAATAACAATATAATAAGTACTAATAATGGGAGATGACGAGAGATGAACTGGATTAAAATCATTAGAAATGGCAGTATTAGGACAGAATATGGCCTTGAACAGAATATTAGTTTCTGTTTCAGCTCGGTGAATGCAGATGTACACAATGCATGATGTACAGCGCTTTGAGTGGTCGCAAAGACTAAAAAGGCGCAATACAAATATGGAGCATTTGCATGGCCAAATTCTGTGCATTTTCTTGTCATTTCTGTCCATTTGAAAACAATATATATCCACAACTATAAATTATATATATATGTATAAATTAGTAAGTATTATAACATTATTTGGATAGTCTGCCTACAGATAGGCTAGTTTATTTAGTAGTTTTTATAACATTTAAACACCTCAACAGATATTACATCACTGTGGTTAAGGTTTGATTAGGGATAATGTTAGTGTGTTCATTATAATTCCAGATAATAGTATAGGATACTATATAACTTACCACTACGATAATAATTTCAAATGCACAAAACAGCTGTTTCATTTTTGTGGATTGTTTTGAGTCTCTGATTTGTTAATGCTAAGTAGTAACTTGTCTGTAATCATAACCATTCATGCAAAGCAACAAGCAACTTTTTTAATCTCCTGCTCCATCCAGGCTGTGATTGGTCGGTTCACAAAAAGTGACTTTGAAGAGCAGGTTTCTGCAAGAAAGGCACCAGAGCTTCTCCCTGCTCTGTCTTCGCTGAGAACAGGAACTGGTGAGCGGCGCATAGAGCCCAGAGAAGAAACAAGAAACAGTCCCGGTACCGCATACCTTGCGTCACGAGTCATCTCTCCCATTAGCGCTAGCTTTGTCGCGGAACATTAAGGCGTGGTCAAACCAACGCAGCAGGGGCCTTATAAATCCAGCGCCAGCTGCTTGTGGATGGGACGAGAGGTGAAAGACATCAGAGACATCGGAATTGTATTTACGTTCTGCTTGACCAACGGCTGTTTGATAAATTGATATTAAAACACATTCAGAGAGGATTTGAAATGCTTTTTTTCTTCAATTTTTATCATTTTGGTGCTGGTGACTTTTCTTTGGCACTCGCTAAAACCTCTTTGAGGGGCGCCAAAAATTCCTCTTTGCAGGAAAAACCCTGCCGTTAGTCGAGTAAAAAAGATTTAGTAAGACAAAACTGGCTTTTCCCACCATTTTATTTGAATGTTAAATCTGAGTTTTTCTGCTTTAAGTAGTGTATGTAACAAAGCGTATGGCATGCAAACTACTTCCTGCTAACAATCCCATTAATGCAGTTTGTCGTTATATATTTATGAACATGGTGCAACTCTACAGCTTTCAATGATGAGTGAAATCTTAATTTCCTGCTCACTGTAGCAGGCGGGAGTCTATAACCATGTCAGGGACATTTATTTTATTTTGCATGTTTCTGTAATAAATTCATGATTATTTGATTTCATGCAGCCATAAAAAAAATTATAAAATGTAAAATAAGTAAAGTGTTAAAAGGGGTAACATTAACAATATGTTACATATTGGAAATAATTCTGCAGTGCACTTGTTCAATTAGCCTCTGGGAAAATGTAAACAACAGTAAGTAGTGATAGTGATGATATGTTTTTCATCTTCACATAGAAAGTCTGCTCAGCTGTCCAGGTTCAGGGTAAAGAGAACAACACAGTGATTTTAGTTGAAATCATTTTAATTTCAGCAGTAAACTCAAATTATTGTGTTTGTGATGCTGCAGTAACAACAATGCAAATGCAAAACAAAGTTTGACAAATATCTCATTGAAAATACATTTATTATGAACTGATGTGTGGGTGCGTGTTTCTGCACATTATTGACTTTGAGTCTGTTTTGTGTGTAAAGTAAAAGGTTGTTTATATTTTGCTTGGATAGAAATTCACACACAGACCAATGAACCTGATTTGCACCCTCAGTTGTAACTTCTGTGTAAGAGGGTGGACGTGGCCCATTTTAGTTGAAAATCAGGGCTTATTTTAGTAGCTCGCTGGTTTAGCTAAAAAACTACCTAAAATTAAATTAATCAAATTTTATTTACAGATGTAAACTTTTTTTATTTGATAGAGGCGTAAAAACATCTTTTATAAACATTTAACTTTGTTGGTAATCTGATTTATAATTGTTTTATCCATCTGATCCATGCTGGTGAGTAAGAAGTAAAATTAATCCTCCAAAATAATCTCGCCTTGACCCTTCCGGCGCTCCGTACAATGCGCTGAAATATTCTGTCCCGTTGATGGTTAAAAAGTTTGATATGTAACTATTTCTGTAACACTAATTCCAACATATTCAATAAGGTTAATAAATATATATTTAAATATATATATTTAAATTAAAGTACAATTTGTTGCTTGTCATGCTTTCTTTTCGGGGGGGTGGAGAAGGAGGAGGGGGACTTTATTAATCGATCAGGCTCATTCGCAACACATCACGCTAACAGGTTAGCTGCTAGCTGCGCGTTGAAGAAGCGAAGGTAAGCGTGTTTATATATCAGCAAATATAAACTGCAATATACACATATCCGCAGACTGCTCCCGGCTTTATATAAACGTTGCACATTGAAAAATCTAAACCTCGAAGTGAAGCTTTAAACTACGTTAGCTAACGACTTGCATTAGCATGTAGCAGCAGGCTAGCAGGTCGTGTTAGCCTCGGCTGTGTAGCACGGCCCTCTGGCTTTACGGGATCAATCCGGCAATTATTGGGTGTATTTGTTATGTAGCAGATGCAAACATTCATTTACAAATGACTCTGATTCATAAAAAAACTGTAGGTTTTTTTTGTCTTGAGTTTTTAAAGTTTTAAAAGGGGTAAAATAGCGAGTTAGCATCGTTAGTTTAGCTGCTCGCACAGTACAGGTGTCGTGTCTCTGCTGTTCACTTTCACACACACCTGAAAGCTGCTCAGGTGTTCACTTGCCAGATACTGCTTCACTGTGAAAATACGCTTTGTAGCTGGTTCACCGTCGTTCCTTTACACAAGTTAACGGTGTGTTTTGGGTCCATGTCTCCTCCTTTCAGGCCTCAGTGATCCATAAAGAGCCTTATTTTTATTATTACTCACATGTCTCTTTGATATTTTCACACAGGTTCAGTGAGGATGTTTCCATCTCTCAGTTCACATCTGTTCATTTCCTCCCTCTTTGTCTGAGGCGGCGTTTCTCTAGCCTGTTTCTGTCTCATGTCCCAGTAGTCACACCTTCTCAGGTGTTAATGAATCACGGCCGGTTTTCTTCCATGTGCTCTAACTTATATTTGCTGCTCTCCACTCGCCTCTGTTGTCTTTTAGTAGAGGCAGCGTTTGAAGAATGTCTCATTGTGTTTCAGCAGAGATAAGACGTTCACCACAGAAGAGGAACTTCACTTTCACCAACTTTACCGTTTGCACAAGACGTTTTCTGACACTAACTTCCCCCCCCGGTCCTTTTTGCCGCCTGTCTCTTTCCTTATCTTGACTCGCCGGTGCAGAAACAGCAGCTCCACTTGGTGACGTCATGTCTCAGAAGTCGCAGTCAGACGGAGGTCAGAAACACTTCGCCGTGGGTCGGGGGCTCCTGGCCGCCGCAGAGACCTTGAACTTCAGCATGAATGAACAGCGATCCAGCCGGCAGATGGGGGGCATGTCCTCAGGGGTGGGGGTGGGTGGTGGTGGTGGTGGCGGCGGCGGCGGCGGCATGGAGGGCCAGGACGGCAGCTCCCAGATGTCCCGGCGTGGTGGCGGCAGCAATCTTGGCAACACCATGAAGTTGTTTGCCAGTTTGGGGCTGTCGCCCTCCGACCTGGACGCTCTAGCTGAAATCCCTGAAGAGGACATCAGTGTGGAGACGCTGCCGCACATCCTCAGGCAGCTCAAGAGCCGCAAGGGGGACGCGGGAGAGCGGCGAGCGGCATCCTCCATGTCCTCTGACGCTGGGTATCGAGGAGGAAGGGACAGCTGGGACGACATGCACGGCGGGAGGATGGGCGGTCCTTCTCTGGGTCAGAGTTCAGCCCGGGCCCAGCCCTCTGCAGACTTTGGGTTCAGTTCCATGCAGGACGTCTCCCCCAGCCGGGGCTACAGCTTAAATTATAGTGGCGGCGGTGGGGGGGGGGGCAGAGACAGGCCGTATTCTGAGCTTTCCCGCCAAGACTCCTACAGCGGCCTCGGCGTGGGGATGCAGACCTCCAACTCCGTCTTTATGCAGAGGAGGATGGGCTCCCCTTCAAACGGAAAAGTCCAAGACTTCTTGGGAGTCACGCCCTCCATGTTCCCCCACGTGTGCTCTCTTTGTGACTTTGACGTTCATTCCAACATGGTGAGTACCGTCCAGCCTCCTCCTCTTTTCCTCTCGGACTAACTTTAAATGTTTCAGCTCAAGTCTTCTGTCCTCTTCAGTCAGTGACAGGTTGGTCCCTTGTGTTTCCAGAGACTGGAGGTCCGGTTTGCATCG